TATGAGATCCTGTTTTTCTTTTCTTCTTCTTTTTTTTTTTTTTTTTTTTTTTTTTTTCTTCTTCTTTTTGTTAAGAGCAAATTTTGTGTTGACTCTGGGACAGCTTCTCAATTCAACTGGATATCCTTCAATTCATTTTTAAAGACTTATACTTGAATGATAGAATTATGCTTTAAGAAACACTTCAAAAACTCTTCAAGCAATCAATCCTTCGAACACTTTTGCCAGTTTCCTTGAGTGAAAATTACCTCTTAATCGAAGTATATCGGTGGAAAATAATCTCAAGATTCAAGAGTTTTTTTCAATCAAGTCCGGATGTTTTATAAGATTTTTTTTCTGCTCGACGTTTTTTTCTAATATCCTGTTATTTGCACGCTGCGCTCCTCGCACGCCGGAGACTGCTCGCCTTGTTTATTTTGAAAGAAAAACAATCTTCATTGTGTAGTTATGTTTTTAATTACCAAAAACATTTACTACAATTGAACAAAAAAAAATTTCTTTGTTGCCCTATAAAACCAAGCGTTTTTATACATTATTTATCAATCTGTGTTTGTATATGACTTCCAGGTACAAAAGCTAAGTTGGAAATTTTGTTATAAAATAAACGGAAGCAAGTTTCCAAAGCTCGAATGTTCCAATTGTCACCTTAGAGAAAAAAGTGCTTTCTCGTGAAAGGTYGTCGCATGTTTCATCCTGGTTTACGACTACGTCTAACGAAGTGATGTTAAACAAGGTAGAGAAATAGGAATTATGGTTCCAAAGGTCAATAAACAGAAAATCTTCCGCAATCTCATCTGATAATGAACATGCACTGTTCAACATTTTTTCTACTTGTTCATCACTATAGAGATTTCACATCTTAACATCASGTGATGGCAGCCAGAAGGCCCAACAATAGTCTTTTTCCCCTGGGAAACTGAATTCTTTCTCATGTAAAACAGATTAGACCAGATTCAATTGTTCCTACCTCTTTATTGTTTTCATCCCACGTCAGAAAAAGGTGACGCAGGTACGAGCAACATATAACAAGTGTTTTTCACACTAATTATCAATGATTTAACACCTTGGCATATATATACTATATATAGACCATACTACGTCATCGAAGAATTGTTGGTTGACACATATGACGTCATGGGTCAGTTCTATGGGTGACGGTGACGACAGAGCAGAAAAACGACAAGGCTGCTACTTTCGCAATTTTTTTTCTTTATCTCTCATTCATGCTAAAAAAACGTTTATTGTTTCATTCGTGTCTCTTGTGCTTTAAACTTTTCACAAAATTCTGCTAACCTCGAGCAATTATTCTACTTCGACTGAGGTATTAGTGAAAATGTTAGTTTTTGTGCTGATCAAAATATCATCTCTCTCAACGTTCAGGGCGTTATATCTCAAATACGCATTCCTTAAATTTACAAAAATTTTGATATTTTGTTAATCAGCCCAAAAGAGCCTGTTTATGAAATATAAAGCTTATTAACGCATAAACGTCGAAAGTAGAACCCGTTTTTCTTTCCTGTTGACGGTGACAGATATTTTTTATCACTCGTATATATCACGTATCCAGCCGTTTGCCGTTGACAGTCGAGATAAATATGCTTCGCAAACGTGCTATAATAGAAACCGCATTGGTGAACAAAGTCCTACTATACTACTACTATACTATACAATAAATAATACATATAAAAATTAAATTAAATTAAATTTCTTCTCATCATGTAAGGTGCAAGAGTATAGTGCTTGGGCTTTCTTTGATTTTGCCTAAATCTTTAGGGTTTGGAAACGGAATTTAYTAATCTTTACTTGAGATTATTGTCTTATTTAAGTTTACGAGTAAGAGTGGCGAGCATAAGCATTGCTAGAGCGTACGTGCGTATGTGTGCGCGATGGAGAGAAGGAAGAGAGAAGGAAGAAAGAAGGATACGAAATGAAAATGGGAGATGAAATGAGAGTTGACTGAAATGCAGAGCACTTGAATTTTATACTAGTTTTATAAAACTCACAGAAATTAAATATGTAAACTTAATGGTTTGTGACTGGTTTAAAATAGAAGACGACCAAACAAAAATAGGAAAGGAAAAACGGGGGGAGGGGGAGGGGAGAAAACATGAACGAGAAGCTAATCCAAAAACTCACTCTTTCAGTTGCTGTGAAGTGRTCCAACTTGCAAACTCAATCTAACGATGTTTTTGGCTTTAAGACGTAACCAACCCTCTTTTAATAACATCTCAATCGATCCTGCATGCGTTAACATTAGAGCAGTTTTCGTATGACTGTGAAAAATTCACGGCACGAACACGGTCGTGACACGGCAAGGAATACGCCAGACCAATTATATTGCACGAGAATTTATTCTCCATCCAATCAAATACCCGGAACACGGCATAAACACGGCGCGGACAAGGACACGCCAAGGTCACGGCAATGCCAGACCAATCATATTGCGCGAGAAAAAAATCAGYCAATTAAAGATCTAAACTAACTCACGGTTAAGGCACTACACGCTTACGACACTGCGCTTTTCACAGTCATACGAAAACTGCTCTAACTACTGTCGAATTACAAAACCGTTTATCATCAAACAAAGTGCTAAGAATCCCTTAATTGAAAAACATGTAGGTTGCACGATAAAACAATTTGTAGGATAATGCAAGATAAACTTGTTTATGAGGAGTAATTAAAACATGCATATGAACATGTTCAGTCTAGATAGTACGATTCTGTCACGTATATTATTAGGTAGAAAAGACACCAATGAGAAGGGCTTTCTAAATATGCCCTTAAGTACTCTGTAAAAAAACTTTAAGAAAACAGTGTCTCCTTTTTCAGCTAAAAATATAAAAGGCGATCTAAATTTAGACTTTTCTTTCATTAGTGTTCTAAATTTGTTTGATTCATCTACTTGAGAAGCCTAATGCAAAAACCGATTATTTCGCAATCACACTTTTTGCTATTTTTTGTCAAAAATAAATCTATTAAAAGCATATGCCGAGGAGTGAAGAAACAGCGAGGAGAGAAAATGTGTTCAAATCTCCGTTTACTTCCAAATCTCTTATTCAATATTGTCTATGTTATTTGTATTTAATAATATGCTTTTTAATTAACAATTATTCGCCGAAGGCGAAGTGAATTCACTGAGGCTGAGGCAAATAATTGTTTTAGTATAAATACACAGGTGATTCTTTCAAAAAAAAAAGAAGATAAAAAGACATTTTTTCCGGTAACAGCAACAAAGCTGCTGGCCGCCATTTTGGATTATCGCTGGAGGTGATTATCGWGTGATAGTGTGAGTTTCTCGACCAATCAGCGCGCGAGATTTTCCATAATAACCCGTGTATTTTTAATAAAGCATATTAACATCACGAAGGCTCAATCCTCTTAAGTCCGACAATTTTTTAGTGTTAAAAAAAAAACATGAAGCACAAAGTTAGTTTTTGGAATAATAATAATAATAATTGTTCATAATAACAAATATAAACAAAAATGACGGAAATGGCCTTAAAAAGAAATGATCGGCTAGAGATTGAGAAGTAAGAAATGGGTGTTTCATATCTCTCGCTGCCGCCTTAAATGATCGAGAATTGATTGATTGATTTTGTTACAATGAATTAACATAAATTACCAAAAAAGGTAAATCAGACCCAGGCCTGCTGGGTAGTTTTTTACTTTCGAGTTTTGTTTTACACGTGCAAAATCATCCGTAGTATTATTCGTTTATTTTTTCGTATCATAAATTTATGTAGGACTTTTAACCGTCAGGTATGTAACTAGTGCATTATTTTCCTTATATTCATATTAGTTTGTAATATTTTGTTTGTTTTTGTTTAGAAACCTCACTCGACTCACTCGATTCATTCGATCAAATTACCCAACTTACCTTACTGTGAACTTATTCTTCTTATTGTACTTCGACTGATTYAAGTTAAATACAGAAATAGTTTCAACAACCCAGTGAGCGTTTCAACGTTTTTTAGTGCCTACAGATTTGATACCGAATTTGCAAAGCTGAATGAGTATGTTGTTTATACAATGCTCAAGGGAATGGTCATGTGGTTTCAGAAATAGGACAACACTGAGCCAAGCTGAATAGGTCTATCGGCTTATAAGATGCTATCAGGGAAATAAGCTTTTTGTTTAGAGTCAGATAATAGATAAGTTCATCAAAGAAAATATCTTCGCTAATGCAAAAAAAAAACTGATGTTTTGATCAATTCTGGCGGGCAAAACTTAATTTTTTAGACGTTTATCAATTCCAAGATCTCTTCAAAAAATAAGCTTGATAAGAATTCATAAAAGGTAGTAGGTAGTTTAGTAGACAGATGGAATGAGAAAACAAGGGCGTTTGACTTTGATAGAATAAAAAATAATGAGAAAAGAAAAATATATGAAATTTGTCTACGAATAAGAAAATGAATTTGGAAAACTGAAAAGAAAGAAAGAAAGAAAGAAAGAAAGAAAGAAAGAAAGAAAGAAAGACATCCAATACAATTTTCATAATTTTCAATGTTCATAATCTTGGTTTTGTCTCCTAGTATAAAGGAAGAAGAAGAGCAATTGAGTTAATCCTACGATGGAGATTTGATCCGATACTACTAGCTCGTTCAGTATTAATACTAAATGCAACTGCTTCAATTGAGTTGGATAAGACCTTCCTTTGAACTTTATCACTAAATCACTCGACATTCAGGCTTCCCATTTGTTTTTTAAACTGTCAGCTTCCTTTCAAGTAAAATAGATCAAATTTAAGCCCATTATTTTAGAATGAAGTGCAAATTATATTTTCGTGAATAAGTCTATCTAATTAGTACAAAATATCACCAATGAAGCAATGGAAAACAAAAGAAAT